CGGTGAGAGTACCCACCGGAACCTATAGGTGTAGGACGTGAGCGACTCGCGAAGTATCTTCGACAACATTTACTCCGGAGAGTTTCGCCCGTCCGGCACACAATGAGTGTTAAAGTGACTTGAACATCGATTCGACATAAGAATTATTAAAGGGTTTTTAACTCTAAAAGTGCTTTAAAAGCTTTGTAAATGCCTACGGACAACAGTTTATAGTGAATAAAATAATTTTCCAGTGCATAAAAAGAACAAACAAAGTTCTTTTGAAAAGTGTGCGTGGTAAATATAAATCATTACAAAATTCGAAGACCGGTCAACTCATTCGTTAACAAAAAATATTCTACGACATCTATCGACGTGTAGCTAAACTAGCACAGTTGATCTATATTATAATACTAATATGGTACTTTGATTAGCCGAAAGACGGCATTGAATAACATTACTATACAGAAAGAAAATATAGACTTGAAATTAATAAAGACTGAAATGGAGTATCAAAATATTACCTTTCGTTCTCAAAAGACCAAAAAATTGAATTAATCAATAAACATGTTATTTATATCGACCAACTCAGATTATCTGGCAAGACGCTTACCAGATTTATCCACTGCACAGTTATATAACGAGGACTGTGAGTACTACAAAGAGAATATTAAAATTACAGTAGAATAAAATAGCAAGAATTTAAACTCGGAAAACAGCTAACTGAAACAGCAAATTAATGAACATGGACGGAAAATTCTGCAGTTGAAACAAAATTGTACACGTTCACCACAAGTTAAAAAAATCACTTATTCTCTAATAACGAAGAAAATACAAAAATATCTACAAGAAAACAATTTGAACATGAGTAGTGGAGATCTTGGACAAAAAAACAGATGATGACATTATACCAACAGATGGCAACACCAGTAACATACGCATACAACAGTATGTATCAGTGTCTGAAGTGGTGGTGGAAAAAACCGAAGAATATTTATTATTGGAAACAGCAGTGCATGGGTCTTTGTAAAAAACTAACGATTTCGAGGGATACAAATAAATATGAAATATAAATATATTCATTTATTAAACCGTTTGCTTAGTGTAATGAGTCATTGAAACCATATAATTTGGACATATAAGAAAAAGATTGGGTATTACGTATTGGTGAAAATGATGCAAACCCAAACCAAATCCATTTTGACTTATACCAGAATAGTTTAGAATTGTTGATCAAATGTAATGTAATAATATTTAGCATTAATAGAAATACATACCTAAATGAAATATATTCAAAAATATACATTAATATTACTTTAAAAAGTAATCATTTTTTAAATTTTCTTCATGTACAAGAAATAAAATTAGTCATGACATTGCTATTCTTGGATTTAAAACACGAACAATTATTCATAACATTCCATTGTATTTTTTCACAATAAACGTAACATATTCTTCTCACTAACAGAAGGCATTATTAAAAATTACAGCGCCATCTATTTACGGATAGAAAATCTAAGTAAACTTCCGTAAGGTTCACACATGCACCGTTACCAAGTCCAGGAACTAGACTAGTATGTTATTACTATTATTCGTTTTATAGATGGCCCCCAAAATATCTATATTGAAATGGACTAAAGGCATGTAACATAGTTAATGCATTGCTCTCAATGGCGGACTAATAAACGTTTCCTACAATTCCTCTCCGGTTTGGGCAAGAAAATAATATAATTCCATTCCATTCTTTCCAAAGTTAAAAAAAAATTAATCACTACATTAAGTCGAAGCAGGCTAAGTATAGACAAAGGCTAAGTATTGGATAAACTAAAAAATTAAATACATTTCTAAAAACTACAAGATATAACGGACTATATATATATATATATATATTTATTGAGTTCAGGGCTAACAGGTCACAAAGCCCGAGTAAAAATACAGAGGCTGAAGCTTAAAATACATTATAATAATAATATAATTAAGTAAAATAACACTAATTTTAAAATAAATATATATAATTACCTATATTACACTTACAGTATAAAATTATAAATATCAATATCAATATTCATCATATGCATAGGCGTAGAAATAATGATAATATGGTTTTTTCTTCCGATTAGAAAATTAAACTAGTTAGTTACAACTGTAAATCTGTCATGAGGTCAGTGGATGGGGTAAGAGAGTTATGTAAGTCTGCACACGTGATTGCTTTGCAAGAGACTTGGCTTTTGCCCCATGATGTCACATTTATTGGCACCATTGACGAAGATTATGAATTCACAAGCAAATCTGCGGTAGCACTTCGGCCGGTATTCTACGCGGGCGTCCGTACGGCGGCGTCGCGATAATGTGGAGGAAGGGTTTATTTTCGTCTGTGGAAGTCGTCCCATGTAACAGCGTGAGACTTGCGGCGATCAAATTGAGTATAGCAGATCGATGTTCATTAGTATTTTCTGTGTATATGCCGGTTGATAGTGTGGATAATTTGAGTGAATTTACGGAGGTTTTGAGTGAAATTAATGCCGTAATCGAAAGTAGTGAAAAAGAATCTATTTTCATTCTCGGAGATTTTAACGCTCATCCGAAAGAACAGTTTTTCACTGAATTAATGAATTTTTGTGAAGAGCGAAGTTGGCTCTGTGCTGATGTGATCAAGTTGGGATTATCTTCTAATACTCACACTTATGTTAGTGAAGCGCATAAATGTACGCGATGGCTTGATCATTGTCTCACTACTGAGGCAGCTTGGCAATGTGTAAATAAAGTAAAGGTTAATTATGACGTATACTGGTCGGATCATCTACCATTAGAAGTGTATTGTGAGCTAGCTAGGTTGCCTCCTAAAATGAAAGTGATATGTAATACAAAGCCTTGTAATGTGATAAGATGGGGGGGAAAGGAACAGCGAACAAATAAATTTTTATCACGATATTTGTAACAGAAAATTAAAAACTATCGATCTCCCTGAGGTATTTAGATGTTGCGCTGATCAAATATGTAGTAATGTGGATTATAAAGCACATATTGATATTTTTATAGCTCCATTATTAACGTATTAAAGGAATCTGTAGTAGATAGTTATAAAGTACGTTGTAATAAAAGAAAAAATATAGCGGGGTGGAACAGGCATGTAAGGGAGATACATAATGAAGCTCGACTCTGTTACCAGATGTGGATCCTACACGGTAAACCTACATCTGGCGTTTTGTATGACAACATGTGTGAGACCAGAAAGCGTTTTAAGTCTCGACTTAAGTGGTGTCAAGATAATGAGACACAAATTAAACAGGACATTTTGGCCAAACACCATAGGTCAAAAGACTTTAGGGCGTTCTGGAAACACACTAAAAAGTTTAATACAGAATTATGTGTCCCAGCTAGCGTCCAGCCAACATGAGTCAGGTAAGATAGCTGAATTACTTAAAGATATTTTTAAGGTTCAATCTTCGATTGCGTCGACGCAGCAGGTGCTTAGTGCTGAACAAGAATTAAGTGGTGAATTATCACCGTATTAAAACTGAGGATATAGCTCGTGTAATAAATGGGATGACTAGGGGTAAGTCTCCTGGTCACGACGACCTCAGCATTGAGCACTTGCAACATGCGGGTGTGCACTTGCCAAGGGTGTTAACTCTATTGTTTAACCTATGTCTAGGACATGCGTACTTACCTGGAGAGCTTATAAAAACCATGGTTGTACCAATATTAAAAAATAAGACTAGTGATGCCTCCGTTGGGTCCAATTATCGCCCAATATCTTTGGCTACCGTAGTTGCGAAGGTTCTGGACGGTTTGCTTGATCAGCAACTCAGCCAACACATTCACCTACATGAGGCTCAATTTGGTTTCAGGCCGGGGCTTTCAACTGAAACTGCCATACTGCGACTCAAGCATACTGTCCAGTATTACACTACGCGAAAAACGCCGGTTTACGCGTGTTTCTTGGACCTGACGAAGGCATTTGGTTGGTTGACGGTCATTTTGTTAATAATATAAGCTATGCCGATGACATGGTGTTGCTGAGTCCTTCGATCAGGGCCCTCGAAACGCTAGTGGGCATCTGTGAAAGGTACGCGGCGGCTCATGGTCTCAGATATAATTGTAATAAGAGTGAACTACTCGTGTTTAAGGCTGGAAATAGAAAACCTAAGTCTGTTCCTCATGTTAAACTTGGAGGAGTTACACTGAGTAGAGTCACCAAATTCAGATATCTGGGACACTGGGTCGCCGAGGACCTTTCTGACAATTTAGATGTTGAACGGGAACGTAGAGCGTTGGCAGTGAGGTGTAGTATGCTTGCCCGCAGCTTTGCTAGGTGTACGAATGAAGTTAAGATAACGTTATTCAAAGCTTACTGTCAGACATTCTACACCTGCAGCCTGTGGACGAAGTGTACTCGCCGAATTCTCAATGCGCTACGTGTTCAGTACAACAATGGATTCAGGATGTTGTTGGGGCTACCACGCTTTTGCAGCGCATCGCGTATGTTTTCTGAGGCACGCGTGGACAGCTTTGCAGCAATATTACGCAAAAGAATAGCCTCCTTAATGCGTCACGTGCGAGACAGCACCAACGACCTCCTAGCTTCCATATATGGAAGGCAAGATTGCCCTGTGATGAGGTACTGGAACACAGTGCATATGGGTTCCAGACCCAATATAACAAACTAACAATTTTTGTGTAGTAATAATTTATGTATTTTGTGAATCTACTAACCCCTAGTTTTTAAGTTTTTTTTAAAGTTTTAAGTGTACTAACAAAATGAGTGTACTTACCTGAATAATGAAATAAATAATAATAATAATAAAGGCGTAGGGAAGTGACGACCCCATCGCCCGCTGACGTAACGGTTATGTGACAAAACCGGTACGTCAGCGCAGTCAGTCAGCACCTTGCCGAGAGGTGTTAGTGCCGTGCCTCGGCAAAAATTGAAGGTGCAAAGGCCCGCTTGTGCACATGGCCTCACCATGAAACGGTGCCGGGTCTGGGCGTCTCCCGCTAAATGACGCCCACCACTATGGATGATGGAATACGGAAGAACGCGCAAAGGGCCGCTGCCTGGAGGTCGCCAGGGCGCGTCTGGAGCTGGCGCTGGACGCGACAGCATGCGAACCGCCAGCCGAGCGCGAGGTGCTGCACGACCACCCAGCAGCCCCTCGCATTCATCATCCCCACCAGCTGGTTTGGTGTCGGCAGGGTCTTCGCGGGCCCAGCAATCGGCACCCGCCACTGGTGGAGTACGCCGCATGCGTTGGACAACCCAGATGAACAGCAACGCATTGCGGGCGTATTTTAGGGCGAAAGGGGGAGAAACTGGAGGTTTTGCGTATCGGGCAAGGATGCATCGACTTTTTGCTGAGCTGGAGCCATCTGTAACCGTCACCGAGCAAAACCTGGCAGACCGAGTTCGGTATACCTTGCGCTCAAATACATTTGATGTCACCGAACTCGAACGGCTACGACGTGAGGCTGTTCCTTCATCGGGTGAAAATGCTGCGGCTGAGGATGCGGCGCCACAACTTGCTGAGCAAACGGCAAATGTGGATGCCGCCGTGAATACGCCAGTTGTGGTTGATTCAAACGATGACGGAACAGTCGCCCAGGAACTGGAACTAGAGCAAATGAGGAGTACATTGGAGGAGGCGATTGTGGAAACGCGCAGTACGCCTCTCGAAAATCGACCGCGACTTCCCCGCTTAGCCCTAAGCAAGCGGAATCGGGCTGTCGTGAGGGCTCTGAACCTAATGCTGGTTACCTACTTGGAAGCCAGCCGGGACCTTTGCGAGAAGGACTGAATTCTTTTTGGCGCCCCACTGGCAGTCTGCCGTATTATAGGCGCCAAACTTTCCACGGCTGGACGCGCTACTGGACAAAGTAGTGTTATCCCAGCCTGGAGAATAAGAATTGAAGAACGTATCGCAAGGGCTAGGGCCCTCATCGGCAGACTGATATGCTTCAGGTCAGGCAATACCAGGCCAAGGATTGTGCGCACCGTCAGGATGGCGTTTGCTGGGACAAATGTTAGTTTGTCCCAGCCGGATATAACGCAAAAGCTGACGGAGCGCATAGACGACCTGAAGCAAAGAATCGCTGCTTGGGGAAAGCGGATTCGGCGATATACCGAGAGGTCGACACGGTTCAACCAGAATCGTCTCTTCCAGAGTGATCAGAAGAGGCTCTACAAATCATTGGAGCGACCAAAAGTAAATGGAACGGGCCCAGCACCAAATCAGGCCGACACGGTCGCATTCTGGCGCAGCCTGTGGTCAGAGCCCGTAAATCACAACGAGGGCCCTTGGACGGAAGTTGTGGCGAGTCAGTGTGCGGGTATTACGCCCATGGACCCCGTCATCATAACGCCGGATGACGTAGCTGAGGCGGTCCGTAGGGCCCCGAACTGGAAAAGTCCGGGGCTTGACGGGCTGCATCACTACTGGCTGAAGGGGTTCATGGTGTGTCACGCTGTGCTCGCCCGACAGTTTCAAGAGGCTCTCAACCAGAAGTCGCTCCCAAGCCTCTTCACTACTGGGATCACTCATTTGGTTCCTAAAGATCAGGGTACCACAGACCCGAGCAAATACCGCCCCATCACGTGTCTACCGACTATATACAAGACACTAACATCCATTTTGAGCGCGAGAATCGCTCGTCACCTGCACTCAAATCAGGTGATGTCGCGCGCTCAAAATGGATGTCGGGGCGGCGGTCGTGGAACTAAGGAACCACTCCTCATTGACGCGGTCATTGGCAACGTGGTGAAACGCAACCGTCGGAACTTCTCCGCCGCTTGGATAGATTACAGAAAGGCATTTGACTCGGTGCATGGGGCACCGAGTCAAATGCCTTTCTGTAATCTATGGCTAAACAGGGTCCTCGAGCTGTACAAGATTGACTGTACAGTTCGAGACTTCCTCGGGCAGTGTATGGGGCAGTGGAGTACGATCCTCTGTCATCTGGGCGAGCGGATGACCTGATGATGATGAGCGGATGCGGAAAGCCGCATAAGGATAAGAAGGGGTATATTCCAGGGCGACTGTCTGAGTCCAATCTGGTTCTGCCTCTCTTTGAACCCTCTCAGTACTTTACTGGAGGGCTCCGGGAGGGGATTTCAGCTTCGGAAGGGAGGTACAAAAGTGACTCACCTTTTCTATATGGATGACCTCAAATTATTCGCCTCCAGTCGCTCCCATTTTATGGAATTGCTAAACATCACTTGTGAATTTAGCAATTCTATTGGAATGGAGCTAGGGACGGATAAGTGTGCGGTCCTCCATGTTGAAAGGGGAAGGGTTGCTAACTCTGAGGGCATAGACTTATCTATGCCCGTCAACTTAAGGGCCCTTTCCGAGGCTGAAACATACCGATACCTGGGTATGTCACAGAACATCGGTATCGATGAGGCTGGTATGAAACAGTCAGTTTGCGACGTGTTTTATGCACGCTTGACCAAAGTGCTTAACAGCCTTTTGTCCGGTGTGAATAAGACACATGCATATAACGGTTGGGTCATGCCTGTCCTCATGTATACCTTTGGCATACTCAGGTGGAGTCAGACTGAACTTAACGCCCTGGATAGAAAAGTCCGCACTACAATGACGTCCCATAGGATGTATCATCCGAGATCGTCGGTAATGAGGCTGTACTTGCCGCGAAAGCATGGTGGGCGTGGCTTCCTGAGCGCGCTCACCATGCATAATCGCGAAGTGTGCAGCCTCCGTCATTACTTCCTGGCGAGATCGGATGATCCATTCTATAATGACGTCATTTCTAGTGATAAAGGACTTACCCCTCTATCCTTAGCCAACGAGCAATGGCAAGACCCGGCAGTACAGAGCATTTCCGACCGGGAGACCGTATGGAAGGAGAAGGAGCTCCATGGGAGGTACTACAGGGCTCTACATGAGCCTCACGTAGATACAGCCGCCTCCCTCAACTGGCTACGTTTCGGTGACCTCTTCGGGGAAACCGAGGGTTTTGTCTGTGCAATACAGGATCAGGTTATTAAGACCAACAACTATCGGAGATACATCCTAAAGGATGGCACTGTCGACGTCTGTCGAGCTTGTCGCCATCCCGGGGAGTCACTTAGGCATGTCATCTCCGGTTGTTCGGCGCTTTCTAACTCTGAGTACTTGCACAGGCACAACCTAGTAGCCAGAATTCTACACCAGGAGCTCGCTCTGAAATACGGTCTCGTGGACCGGAAATTGCCGTATTACAAGTACTTGCCGGAAGCCGTGCTCGAAAATGACCGCGCCAGGCTCTACTGGGACCGGGCCATCATCACAGACAGGACTATTCTTGCGAATAAGCCTGATATTGTGCTGATGGACCGGGCACAGTCAAGGATATTTTTAATCGACATTACCATTCCGTATGACGAGAACCTCGTGAAAGCCGAAACAGATAAACAAACAAAATATCTGGACCTGGCTCACGAGGTGACCGACATGTGGGGTGGTGTGTCGACCGAAATTATTCCTGTAGTCGTCTCTGCGAATGGGCTAATCCCAGTCAGCCTCTCGAGTCATCTGAGGCGACTGGGACTCCGTGACGGACCGCTCCGGGCTCAAATGCAGAAGGCGGTGCTCCTCGATACCGCCCGCATCGTCCGCCGGTTTCTTTCCCTTTCCCCCTAACCCTCGGCCGTCTGGTCTGCCCTGCCGAGGGCTCCCATCTGGTTGGATCTTATTTATTTATGTAGTTTTTGTATTTATTTTATTTTATTGATATTTATGTACATTTATCTTTTCATTTTAATTTATAATTATATATTTATAGAACCCAACCAGGTGAGAAAATTATATAGATACCCCAATAATAATAATAAAAACACACTTACGATAATAAGTGTCATTTTCTGGATATATCTAATTTAAATGAACATTATTATAACTACCACTACTTACATGGTCGTATATGCAGGTTTATCAATCTAACCATAGATACAAAAGACTATAAAACTAAATACGTTCCTTCAGGTACAAATAAAGTAAAATCCTATTATCTTCCTATTATTAAACATGGCTTACCTAAAAGTTTCCCTTCGGGTATATGCAGCGTAAAAGGGACTATCCCATATTATTTCCTGTCATTAAACGAAATTCAACTACATACTTCATCTAAAATATTTAACAATAAAAAAATAAGACTACTCCATCAAAACATCGCAGGCATTTTAACTAGAAACTAAAATAGAACTATGTCTAATTGAACTTTCCAAAAATATCTATCCAATACAGATTTTATGCCTTAGTGAAACTTTTTGAAAAGGGGATGAGTCACATATTACTATTAAGGGATATACAATGGGCAGTTACTATTCTAGGAAAACACAAAAGCGTGGTGGTACGTGCATTCTAACATATTGCGTAATTGATTGCAAGCCAATAGAAATATGTAAAGAATGCTCTTGTGATAATATATTTGAATATTGCGGGATAGAAATCCCCAGTTTAAATACAGTAATAATATGTTTATACAGAACACCTAACATCTAACATTAATTCATTTTTTAATAAATTAGAAATACTGTTACATAAATTAAGATTCAAAATTATAAATAAAAAAATCGTAATAACAGGTGAATTAAACATTAATATACTATTAAATAATAGAAATACAATTACCTTAAAAATATCCTCCCAAATTCTAATTTAACTTTACATATAAACGAGCTAACACGACAAAATAGCTGTATAGAGCTCATATCAAGTAATCATGAAAAGGCATATGGTACAGTACACCTGGCTCTATCTATCTGACCACGACACCGCGCAAGTATTAGAATTTCCAGGAAAGTGTGAAAAAATGTCACAATATTGGTACGTTAAAAAAAGAGAAAAAGAAGAAATATAGAAAAATTTCTATATTACATAAATAAATCATTTAGTATTTTTCATCAAGCACTTACATTGTATTATGAGTTATGCTTTCCCTATTATAAATCTAAAATAACTTCAAACAGTCGATCTCCTGCATGGATCTTAAAGGCCTGAGGAAAGCCAGTGCCATTCAAAGACAATTAAGGTTTTCATATTATAAATTTAAGAAACAAGACACACTTGAAAAATATAATATTTATGAAAAAATTTAAAAAAATGCATAATATGGTCAAAAAAATTATAGAAAACATCTTAAGCGAGCAAAAAATAAAGGAAAAGTCACTTGGAATATAATAAAAGATAAAAATAATATTATCAACTTGATCAACAGCGTGAAATCAATACAAAATGACTACCCAAATAGCAACTTTTTTAATGACTTTTTTATTAATATTAGTAATGGAAATAATTTACATGCGCCAAACGAACAATATAAAAAAATATCAATAGATGTTAATGATAAATCAATATTCTTAATACCTAGGCACTTCAGAGCTTGAAATCTTAAATATAATTAAATCATTAAATAACACCAAAGCTGTGGGGTATGACTCTATATCTACAGAAATAATTAAAGCAAGTGCTCGTGTCATTGCCCCCATTCTTAACCATATAATCACAAATTCCTTGAATCAAGGAATATTTTCAGATAAATTAAAGCACTATATTATAAAACCATTGTACAAGAAAGGTGATAGAAAGGAACTTAATAACTATCGTCCTATTACACTTGTACCTATTATATCAAAAAATTTTGAAAGGGTTTTTTACAACAGGTTAATTGAATTTCTTAGTAAACATAATATTCATAAAATTCTTGGGTATAACTTTGGATAGATTTTGTAATTGGAAACAACATGTAAATGATGCTTGTCTCAAACTACGCAGATTTACCTATGCGCTTAGAAAGCTTCGGACCGTATCAGATTAAAAGACTGCAGGTATACCATATAAAGGCTATGTAGAGTCAATCATTAGATACTCGTATAGGTTAATAATATTCGACTGATGTTGGTCAAGCATTCATTCAAGCACAAAAGAAATGTTTAAGAGCTATTTGTGGAACAAGTCCACTTGACTCCTGATCTATTTAAAAAACTTAATTTACTGACATTGACCTACATGTATGTTCTTGAGGTATCAGTCTTTGTAAGGAAGTATAATGATATCTTTAAATTCAAGGGGGGATCATGTTACTAAATACAGACCAAGAGATTCTACTAAAATAATGATTCCCATCTTGGAGAACAGCTTTAAATAAACGGAATGTATATCGTATGTCCATATCAGTTTTTAATAAACTGCCTAATAGTTTACGGGAACTTCCATTTAAATATTTTAAAATTAAGTTAAGAAAATGGCTAGTGGATAAGTGTTTTTATACGATACGAGAGTTCATGCAAAACTAGTGCATATGATTATTTGTAAAACTAAATATAATGTGTAATAATAATAATAATAAATAATATGCTAAATATTTTTAAATGTAATATAATAATAATAATAATATAATTATAACTTGACATTTTTGTAAGTAATATACTTAATAGTATTTTAATTGTTTTATATAATTATACATATTTGCATGCCTATTAAAGGCACAATATAGCTTGAACTTTGCACCACTGTTAAATCTGGTACCACCTGTATTCTGTGCAAATAAATGTTTCTTTCTTTCTTTCAAATCCCTGACTTGCGTTACCCTAGACATAGGTGTCCTGTCAATGTTATGTATACTCTATGGGCATGTGTTTGCGCGTGAAAGATATTTTAAGCATTTAGCGGTATTGAATTGTAACTTGTTACCTTTACTCCTTTCAACAACTCTATACAATAAGCGGCCTTTGTGAATTCATTCAGAGTACAGTTGAACAAATCAGTCTGTTGTGAGACCACGTTTAGTGCACGCAGCGCGCGCGTCAAAGGCGCGTGCTGTAGCAAGTTGGTGCGCGCTTGCGGCACCGACAAGAGCGGCGGCCGCCGCCGTCGTCCTACGTATTCATTAGGGACACACAGCTTAGCTATCTGTAGAATATCTGGGTTATGTAGTTTACCACGGATCTCTTTTAGTAAGTGGCGAGAGCAACTTCCCTTCTTATTTCTAGTTTATAATAGCCTATCATGCCTAGTATAAATAAAGTGGGGTACAACAGTAGATTATAGTAATTTTAATATCACAGAGATATACTTTTTAAGATAATAAGCTAATAAATAAACTGGGGAAAAATAATAGAATAAAATAAAGTATAGCAGGCACACGCTCGACTCTGGACTGTCTTATATAGGACAAACAAAAAGATCAATTAGGACCCGCGTAAAAGAACATATAGCTGATGTGAAGCATCAACGTTCCGGGAAGTCTGCAGTTTGTGATCATATCCCAGACGGACCCTATCATTACATCAGATTTGATAGACCACAAATCCTCGCGAAAGAACACCGATTCCTACCAAGGATGATACGTGAGGCTATTGAAATTAAAAAACATCCTAATTTCAATAGAGAAGGAGGCTGGGTACTACCTACTACTACTACCACTACCTACTACTACCTGCTTGGGATCCTATAATCAATAAAATTAAAACTAAACCCAAGCATACCACTGCAAGACCTCAGGACATAGTCAGTTCATTTTGCATAGATCGGACCATAAACAATAATTAAAAAAGCTGAAGGTACTCCGGGTTTAACAATGACATCGGGACGTCAGTCATCTCAGTCCTCCGTGACCATGGGTGCTGGAAAGCGCCCGAAACGTCGGGAATTAAAAATAAAAGTAAATAAAAAGTAAAAATAAACGCGATAAAATCCGTAAAAGTAGTTTTAATCAATTAAAACTTTTATTGAAAAAAATATCGACTGTCGATATTCATATTTTAACCTTGCCCCGCGCGACATACCTGCGTCGAGCATCGAGCGAACGCGCTAATGCTGGTGCTACATATATCTCTATGTGGTGCTATACTAACGCGAAACGTCAATGCCTATAAACGCAACAATTATTGCTTTAAATTTAACGCGATAAAGTTGGCTACACTTGAACGCTCCACGTTATTAAATTTCAATGCCATTGAACGGCGTTAATGTTCCTTGAAGACTTTTTATATTTGTTAAAAATGGTTCTATAAAAACCCATTAGGATTTCCTTCGTCTTTCTAATTCTTCGATAGTTATATTAAAAGATAATAATTGGATAATTCGTCGCAGAGCATCATTTTGCGCTCTATGATTCTTAAAACTTTTGAGTCTCGGATCCCACAAACATGGCTCTGTTTGCAGAATCTTATGAAACGTAATAACTTTTTTATTATTCCGCTCCATCATAACATACGTGCAACCTTGATGAGCTCATCGTACACAGTCAGAAAACGTCGTAGTATGGCCGCTCCAACGTGTTATTTCGTGCCTTTCTTTGATGTACCGCTACTCGAGTTATCGCCAAACGGCAAACGGCATTGTTAATGTCATTGTCAAATTAACGCGTTAAGTCGTGGCCACACCTACATTCAACGTCCATCAACGCGATAATTAACGGCATTTCTCGTTAGTGTCACCCTAGCATAAGATTGTACAAAAATGACAAAATAAACAAGCTCCGTGGCGCAGTGGCTTAGCGATGAGTTGTTGCGCTGGGGCCGCGGGTTCGAATCCCGCACGAAACAAGTATTTACATGCTCTACAAATAATTGTTCGGGGTCTGGATGTTTGTCCTTGTGCGATTTATGTTTGTAAACTGCCTCCACGATAAAGGAGAAAATTCTAGTGGTCCACACACACGGTCAGCTAAAATGATCAGTTGAACTGACGTACATCCAAAAACTGACCGTGAGTATGGAATCTTAGCACCTCTCTATCTAGCAATAATCTAGCAATCTTTCGAAGCACCCCCACACGAATTTTCCTGCCGGAGCAGCGTCAAAATGAGATTTATAAAAATTTATAAAAAAAACTTAGCAGGTCCGGCAGGGGGAAGTAGGGGGTGACTATACAACTCCTCCCCTTCCCCATACCCCCACCCCCTAATTCAGGCGACTTAATTGTAAACCTTACCATAATTTTTAGTTACAACAAGTAAGTATTAATTTAATACAATAATTTTTAATAAAATTAATCAATGCAAATCAAAGCATCACATCATTTGTACACAATCAATATAATTAATATTATTATAAGTAGGTTTCTGTTTATTAAATTAAAATTATTAATATGTAAACATTTATATTAATAATAACCCTAAATCACCAGTTTATATACTTACATTAAATTATAAACAGCTTAACTCAGAATTTATATTTATTTTCCTATCCTGATAACCAATTAATATCCTTTATTTCTTATAATTTCTGTCATGAATAACCTAATATTACATTTTTTTTTAAATAAATAACTTATTAGATACCTGTATATGTATATGAAATAACGAAGGTAAATAGATCAGTTAAGGAACTTGCAAGAATTAATGTAATACAAGCTTAGAATAATATGAAATATTCTTCGGATTTGCTGAAAATAATAATAGGTGTCCACACAGACAAGAAGCAAGCAATTTGGTGCAAATTAAAACTGAGCTGTAATTTATATAACAAATTGAATTTTGATTGCATTTTTTTTTCATTTATTATAAGCCAATGTTTGACCGCAATTCCACCTGGTGACAAGTAGTGATGAAGCCCTAGATGGTAAATCCCACGATCTTAGCGTAACCAACAAAGACGTATACTTTTAAAAACATTTTAGGTAACCAAAGCTTATTCACTCTTGCCTTGAAGACGCCCAAATTGTATTGGGACGGCAAGACAGATGCCATCGAATTATTCCACTCTTTTGCTGTACGCTTTACAAAAGACGAAGTAAATAGTTTGGTTTTAATGGGTGGAATCGAAATTGACAACAAAAGGGTGAAGATCGCCTGGTTGTCCGATGGTGGAAAGGGCAGGGAGGAATTTAAGCGTTGTAATTCCTACGCACACCCACTGAAATTCATCCTATAGAATACTGAGAGGCTGGCTACTCTAGGCCTGTGCTCGTGGCTGAAAATATACCTTTATATATAATATTATTATACACCATTTTTTTAAATCAAAGTACATTTATGTGATTTAAACGTGTCTAACACATTTATTATTTTCTTAACACTAATTTTTACAAAATTTAATTATTGTGTTATTGTAAATTGTTATTTATATTGTGATATATGTTACTATTATTGTCTTTTACATTAAAATCTCCAGAATCATCTATACTTTTATACTTTTGAACCGTTTCTAATGATGTATTTGGGGGCACCCAACCACCGAAAGCTTTCTCTAACTCTTTGGCTACAGCTACAGTTAAATGGTCATTGTGCCTTCCTGAAACTATCTGCATTCCCACTGGTAGTCCGTGATCGGTGAATCCCAAAGGGCACGCTGTAACGGGCAAACCTAAAGCGTTGAATATGGTCAAATATCCACAGTTTAAGAACTTGTAAAATATCTTATAGTGCACATGAGCTGGATTCGGGAATGTCGGGTAGAATAAAACTGCGTGTTCAGATAAAGCTTTCTGAAACCAAAAACGTAATATATTTCTAAATGTTTCCATATTTTAATTGTATTACATAAAATTACACATAAACATAAATAAGTCCCGCAGGGTAAAAAAATAAAAATTAAATAAGTTTTATTAAGGTATTCTTGTACGCTGTGTTGAATACTTATAATTATTTTTTTTTATTATATTCTGTTCTACCCTGTCCTGTTCAGTCATGTTCTGTTCTGTTTAATTATATACTTAATTATTCTATCCTAAGCGTTTTCAAGCTACTGAACTAGAAAATATACTGCATCATCATCGATTGGAAATACATCAGTCGCCTTCAATTTACCAATGTTTTTAGGAGAACTGAAACTGGAGATAAACAGCATCTACCTGATAACAACTCAAAATAATAAAAAAGCGGTTGCCAACGCACCTGCCAGACGTGGCAACTACAAAACACCCCTTATGAGGCAATCTAAGAAGGAGGCCTATGTTATGGGCAAACTCGTTGAAGAACCTTTGCACTATATTCAATATACCTCGATTGTGTCTCTCAATGCACAGTTTTTTTAAAATGAACACGGCAAGATAAAAAGATCATGTGTAGTGTATGTAACACCCTGTGTCCCCAAAGTTGTTAACGAGTTTAGTTTATCTGGCACAAACTATCCGATTTGGGCAAGTTCAACTTCTACCAATAAGTCAACCAACGGAACCAACACCATAATATAACTCAATGACCAACACGACCGGCTGGCGACCTCGTAAGACATGCAGGAAGTTGATAGATGCAAGTGACTCAGAACAGTCCTTTGTGGCATTACTTGGGGGAGGCCTATGTTTAGCAGTGAACTTGTGAGGGGCTGTAATGATGATGGTGATGTACCTTTTTACTTTACAAACAGCAATAAAACAATAAATTTAGTAGGCATGATTGACCTTGTCACTTTGCAGGGCCACAGGCTAGGGTGGATATGATAAAAATTTCGACAGATTTTAATTCATTTATTTATTTAATAAAAAAATTTTGTTTTTATTTTTTGTAAAATATCAGTGCTGTAGGCTTCTCTACTCCATTCACATGTTACACCCTATTTTTTTCAGAAGGTAAAAATGGTCTTCTAGTACCATTAGAAAGGGAGAGGTTATATAATTACATAATAAATTGGAAAGGGTCACTTTCCGGCAATGAACTCTAAAATCACACAATATACTAATAGTTATATATACATATACAAAAGGTACGTCTGTCAGGTACTGCGATTGCTAATCCGTCTTCCAGAGCGATTTTTTTACTCAAAGTTCTTCCAACTTTTAACGGATTATATCCAGTGATGAACAATGTATCAATTTAGAATAGATATGACAAATGAATAATAAAACTTACTTGAAAATCAGTCTTGATCTCTTCAAACATTGCAACCAGTTGTTTATAATATCCCGATGGTAAGGCATCAAAGAATTTTTTTACCGGGCCATACGCGACGCACGTAAAGTTATGTCTGGAAAATCCTAATAGTTTCTTTACCACTTCTGGCCAAGTAGATATCCAAAATTCTCGTCTTTCTGGATCGGTGTAAATATTACGAACATGTTTTATTTTAAAAAGAACTCTAACACTGATTTCCCACATGTGTTCTATGTTCTTTATTTTTAGCTGTAAAAAATCACTTTAATTATCCACAACTATTTCATAAAAATCTTTCATATTGTGACTCTTTTACGCTATCTTGTATAGTATAAGTTTTACAGCATCTACATACTTCTTAAGTCCTCACCAGTAAATTCATAATTAACAGTTTATCAAGATTTCACAGGAAAATAAAAACATTATGACATAAATTTAATTTACAATAACTTTCGACCCGTAAAGTACATCATCTTGGAGCAGCATGATAAGGGTGACAGACAAGCGATTAGTCCACCTGATGATACACCTGATGGGTGCTGTGGTCCTGAATACTAACACCTCAATACCAGCATGGTATGGTAATAAATGGGTTTTCAGTTCTCTATACACACTATACACACAGAGCGTGATCTTTCCTATAGTATAACTGTAGTGTGGCTATACAACATTATAAGTAATACGTCATCATCTCTGAGGTGTTACAACCGGAACACAGCACTAGATGTTCTGTTGATTGACAATGGATACAGGTGAAAGTATACTAGACGGACGTCTAGACAAAAACGAAGTTAGTTAAAAGTAAAAAAATGATAAGAGAAGATATGTGTTTACTTATAGAACAAGTACAGTGAACTATTTAATTCAAAAGATTAATTTACCATTTAACAAACCAAATTATGATTTCCTTGCTCCATTGCCAATCAATGATCATATTTAATTTTGTGATTGCCTAAATTTATTTAATATTTAAAGAAAAACTATGATATAAACCGTATGTTTATTATTATTATACCTATGTATAATTTACCTCCTCAACTTCGACGTTGTATGTATGACTTATGTAGCTTTTAGCTTTTTCCATTGCTGCTTTTACTTCAGAACCTATTCTGTCGGTTACATCGCTTCCTTCTCCATCCATGTAATAGAATTTTATTTTTCTAAAATCTATCTGTAAAGAAAAACAAAATATTTCAGTGGCTTTCGAAATTGATTACAATTAAAGTATTAATCCTAGGGCGATATTTGAGGTTTTTGTATAAAACTATTATGTTGTACCGTAATTTATATGTTATAGGTAAAGCAAGCACCGTACATTGGGGTAACGATACGTTGTTGACACTGAAAGTTCTTAGAAAATCAAAAAGTGAACAAACTAGGAAGGTATTAGTTTTATTATATCTTTTCAAAATAGTGTCCATTTACATCAATACATCGCTGCATCTGATGGAACCACTAAGAAAAGCACTTTGCACACTCGTCCTTAGGGGTCTCTTCGACGGCATTTTGAAATGCAATCACTGCTTCCTCGGCGTCCATAAAACATTTTCCTCGAAGATTTCCTTTTTACGATATACGATTACGATGATTAGTACGGCCACGATTAAAAATTATTAAAAAAATTATTAATAAAAAAATTTAGAATACCACTTAAAAGTATTAGAAGAAGAGTTATAACATAAAGGCTCTACAAAAAATGCACAAAAACGACTCACTTTATCCAAAGAGTGGATTTCCTCACTAAAAGCAAATGATAATGGAAAAACTACAAATAGAGAATACCTTTTAAAAATAGCTACTGATTTTTATAAAAACTTATACAAAAGTCATAACGTGAACAATAACATAACGGATGAATTAATAAATAATAGTTGTATTGTGGACATAAACGATCGTACTCCGCCACTAGTACCGTGCGAGATGTCATGCCATAAAAAAACTTAAAAGTGCAAAATGTTCAGGAGAAGATAGTATTTCAAATAATGTTCTGAAAGCGATAAAAGAGCCCATCATACCGATATTAACAAATATTTTCAACGAAATACTCGACCTCAGTCAAATACCAGAAGATTGAGCAAACTCTACTATCATATTAATGTACAAGAAAGGTGATCGATTAAATATCAACAACTATAGACCTATATCCCTATTGCATACAATTTATAAAGTTTTCACAAGTATATTACTTAACAGAATCAAACCCAAATTAGACTACATGCAACCGAGAGAACAAGCTGGTTTTCGTCCCAAATTCTCTACAATGGATCACATCTTTGTTTTGACTCAGATAATGGAAAGATATGAAGAATATAACAAAACTCTTTACATTGCATTTATTGATTATTCAAAAGCTTTCGACTCTATTTACCATGACTCACTTTGGTTGGCGTTGAAATCTCATGGAATACATAACCAATATATAAGAATACTGAAAGAAATTTATAGTCAAACTACAACAACAATAAGAATGGAGAGACCAGGACAGCCATTTAAAATCGAGAGAGGAGTGAGACAGGGGGACCCGATCTCAACTAATCTATTTACTTGTTTATTAGGGTACATTTTCTCAAAACTTGACTGGGGCAAACGAGGCATTAATATTAACGGAGAAATTTTGAGTCATCTACGTTTTGCAGACGACATTATCATATTAAGGGAAAATCACGAAGACCTTATATATATGGTTCAGTCTTTAGACATAGAAAGCAGAAAATGTGGCCTTCAAATGAATCCAGATACAACTTGTATATTGACAAATAGCACAAAAATGTCTGTACACGTTCAAAACCAACAAATTAGATATGTTAACGAATAAATTTATCTTGGGCAAAATATTTCACTTTACAACTTAACAATGACGGAAGTTAATAGAAGAATTAAATTAGCATGGAGCAAATATTGGTCACTAAAACATATTTTCAAGGCAAAACTACCAATTAAATTAAAAAAGAAAGCGATGGATACTACTGTACTCCCCACTTTATTATATGGATGTCAAAACTGGGCTCTCACAAGGAAAATAATATCTAAGCTACAAGTTTTCCAACGAGCAACGGAACGCAGCATGCTTAACGTTAAACTAAGACATCGACATAGAAACAGTGATATACGAAAAATAACAAATATCATAGACGCAGCCAAATTAGCGTGTCAACTGAAGTGGAGATGGGCTGGACACGTGGCAAGAGTCAGTGATGGGAGATGGGCTGAACGGGTGCTACATTGGTACCCGCGTGATGCGACGCGCTGGCGCTGCCGGCCGCGGGCACGCTGGTGCGACGACATTGTAGAGCAACGTGGACGATGCTAGCGGCAGACAGAACCTCATGGAAAAGGATGGAGGAGGCCTTCACCCGGAAATGGGTATTCCATAATTAATTAAAATTAATATAATAAATTATGATACTATTTTATGTGTATAGCCAAATTCAGTAGATTACTATTAACTTCAATTTTGATTAATATAACTTATATAGGACAAAAAAAAGATCAATTAGGACCCGCGTAAAAGAACATATAGCTGATGTGAAGCATCAATGTTCCGGGAAGTCTGCAGTTTGTGATCATATCCTAGACGGACCCAACCATTACATCAGATTTGATAGACCACAAATCCTCGCGAAAGAACACCGATTCCTACCAAGGATGATACGTGAGGCTATTGAAATTAAAAAACATCCTAATTTCAATAGAGAAGGAGGCTGGGTACTACCACCTGCTTGGGATCCTATAATCAATAAAATTAAAACTAAACCCAAGCATACCACTGCAAGACCTCAGGACATAGTCAGTTCATTTTGCATAGATCGGACCATAAACAATAATTAAAAAAAGCTGAAGGTACTCCGGGTTTAACAATGACATCGGGACGTCGGTCATCTCAGTCCCCCGTGAGCTGGGGAATGGGTGCTGGAAAGCGCCCGAAACGTCGGGAATTAAAAATAAAAGTAAATAAAAAGTAAAAATAAACGCGATAAAATCCGTAAAAGTAATTTTAATCATGTATAGTGTTCGCGTAAATATAAGAAATCATTATGTAACTTCAATTTTATTATTTTTAACTATATATTTTGTGACAAAAGTCAAAATAAGTTGACAATTACTTAAAAATATAAATATAAATTGATTATTTACCCTAACATTATTTATAAATAATCAAAAATTAATTTTGTAAACTTAATTTAAACTTTTTATTTAAAATTGACACTGGCATTATCATGTATTTTAATTAAAAAAATTATAAGACTCATAATATATCACTCATAATATAGACTCATAATAATATTGTAATTGGTTTTAACTTATATCGACTGCTGTATGAAAATTGGGAATTAAATGGCTATTATTATTATTATTACCCCGATTATTATTATTACCCCTTCTTCCAATTCAAAGCACAGACACAAGAACCACAGATTACTGCAGGGGGGGGGTACAGTTCCATAATAAGGCATTTGGGCATAGAAAGTAACGCCATCAAGTGTGTTTAATTAACTAATATTACCAACTGAGGAATGGTACGGGTCATAATTTCCTCAGTTTGTGTAATATTAGTTAATTAAATACTTAATAGATGGCAGAATGTAAGAAGGAAGCAGTGATCCAGGTTAAGCATTATATTTCAATTGCAGTTTAGGAACTTTGATATTTGCATTTTAATATCTTTATAATTTACTCATTAACATTATTTTTATTTATCTAATAAATTATAAACTATAAATTTTGTAATATAAGATCACATAATAATTGTTTAATACATGATTTATAAAGTATAAATTACGTACGTTCCATTGAAGTAATATGTACTTACGTACTAGAACAGCTATCTCAAACAAAAAAATTTGTTTTTTTATCATAGAATAAACATGGTAGAATGATCCGTAGGTAATAGTAGATTGTATTGTTAAATAGGTAAATTATATCGAGAAAAATATTGTAATATTGTCATTTATTTTGTGTATTATATTTGTTTATTTAATATAATATTAAATGATATTATATCACAATTACATTTTAATGATATTTTTATCTAAATATTTTAAAAGGTATCTAAGTCAAATATAAAAAACATACTAAATGTATGTTTAACAAAATTTATTAATATAACATTTAAATTACAAATAATTTATTTCAATTAGAATAAAAGCCGTTCATAAATGCTGGGCACGCGAGAGTTAAAAATGGACGAATTTATACCACTTTGACTTTTATGTGGAAACCTAAAAATAAAATAAAAGAATAATAAGCAGATTTAAACATGAAAAATTTTGAAACGCAACAAGGGCCTAGCGAGTGACTGATTATAGTGCGGTGAATGCACCGCAGTGGAGTGGAACAGAGTAGCTGAATGCAGTGTCGCCTCTAGTACGTAGTACATAATAGCTCAAATATTATGTACTACGTAGTAGAATTCGTAGAACTAGTATCAAAATTTGTTAAAAACTTTCTAGGCTTTTTGTAGATTCTTATAATAACAGTCTGTTATTACATAAATATGACTTAAAGATGGAATTGTGATCACATTAAACAATTTAAAAACTACAGTCTGAAAAACTACAAATACCATTGTATCTGACTGAATAAATTATATAGGACCACTATCGTTTAAAACTTCTATTTAATATTAAGACTAGGAAAATTGGTTTAACAGAGTCGAAAACATTGTGTTTTAAACATTATTATTAATAAGCTGCCAAATTGAACAACTGCTTTTTTAAAGTCATATAAAAGTAAAAATATCGAATATATCTTATCCTTTCACCAAAGATTTTTTTATAGAGTAAGGGTGACAAACGAGTACAGTCCACCCGATGGTAAGTATATGATGTGGTCCATAGACATCTACATTTATCCTCAATCAAGAATCAAAACGCAGATACGTTTTCACCCCTGAGGACTAAGATGGAATACCTCGTTTCTAGTAAAAATGGGTTTCGGATCTCTATATTCACCATACGAAACACAACAGTATTAAGCTGCTTTTTTACGCTGATATTCTGTGAGAACTAGCTGACCAGACCATTATGTTGTGTATTTTATAGATATACAATATTTTATTACTGGAGATTATTATATCAGGTATTCTGAAAATTGTCGTCGGAACTAGTTATAGATTGGTCTTTAGTAGGGGTGGGCGTTGCGAAGAGGAAAAGTTTATAAAGACCGTTTTGTGTTCTGCGACGATGAAATCGTTTTACATTCTGAATTCAACAGTCTTCGTTGCACAAACCAATTTTCGATTTTTTTAAACAAATTACTTGATGAGATTTTTTATTTTATGCCTACGAAAATAAAGTCTCTTGACTGTAGCAATGATTCAACTATTAATTTCACTCGTTGCGTCGTCGTCCTTAACGTTTTATTGTAGTCTTTGATTCCTCATTCGTTTACAAACATTAGTAAAGTCGAAAATAATTGATAGTTGTAAGAAACTGCAACCATTTCACTCGACGAAAACGCAATTCTAATCCATGTTGGATAAGTTTCGTCCGATAAGCCGTCTTCAAACCAATGATTTCAAAAGGAAGGATAGGCCCATCTAAATATTTTACTCATAACTTTTTCATACAAGAAAACGTAGCGCATCTATCATAATACAAACGTCATATCAAAACACCACGTGACCAGGGTCGGATTTAGTAGTATAATTATCCTATTTCATAGTTTGTAGTACATAGTATCGTAATAATACTAAGCGAAAATACCATAATTTTACCTAAAGGTCGACTTGTATTATTATTGGGTCCTTTTACATTTTAATATTAACCCTACGATATTGAGAATTTCTGTATTTTACATGAGTACAGCGTTTTTTTTTAATAACATTAGAATTAGCTCCCTTTCTGGTCAATCGATGAAAAAAGAAACATGAAACGTCAAACGTGATATGATTTTTAAAAATAGTATAATTTTATTTTCCATGTACAATATTTTTGAGGATCTGAATCCAACCCTGGCCTAATATTGGCAACGGAACTAAACTAACTGTAAAATAAAACTTTAAAAATGCGTTTATTAATAATTTAATTGTAACAAAATAATATAAGGTTATTTACCGATGATACGATATCCCATTTTTCTTTTAAATCTTTGTATCATAATTTTGCTATTCTTTTACCACGCAACTAGTCATATTTCTGACAGGCAATCTGTCAAAAAAATCAAATATGTCCTGCGCGCGCACCACTGTCGACCGATTCGCGTTGGCCCTAAACTGTATGGCTGTAGGGCCAACGCACTGGTCCGTTTTAATTGTTCGGTCGGCCCGGTCCTTACGCTAGTAATATATAAGTCAATACTTCAAACCAGTTGCAACGACGACCGTTTTCTGCAACTGTTTTCGTTGTTGGGAAAACGGTTGTATTTCGTTCGTCAAAAATTCGACAACGGCCCACCACTAGTCTTTAGTGAAGTATTTTAATCTGTATCGATTTTTGCAATTGACGCATTTGTTACACAACCCGACGATCGGTTTTTGATTTGCTGAGATATTGGGTTTCTAATCCGACAGTAACAATTATTCGTAAATACAAGGTTCTATTGCCTTTAGGTTTCAATGTAGGTACTGTATTCGATTTCTCACGTTGCCACTCACCCGTTTCCGAATTTATCGCAAAAGTATAACACCAATACTGTTATAAGCATAAGAGAGCCTTGTAGTTGTGTCTGATTAAGCAGTTTACATAATTTTTGATTCATTAAATAATTTAGTTATTACAGCGTATTGAAAGTCCAGTCTAGAACATAGGCCTTTCCATAGCTTGCCTCATACGGGGGAATTTGCCATAGTTGTTACTACGCTTGGCAGGTGGTTTGGCAAAAGCAGTTTATTTCTTTTTCAGTTCTTATCAGGAAGATGATGCTGCTCATCATTTGTTTGAGTTTCTCTCAACTACAATGTAAAATTTTAGCTTCGACAATAAAGTATAAATAATCCATATAGCATATTTTACAACTTACGGGTTTGTCGAATGGGATTTCCGGTGAGTTTGGTTGTTTCAAAACTTTTAAAAGTAGCGGCAGATCTTCGGCATAGCGAGTTATTGGACCAAGAGAAAAATATTCTTCAAAATCAGGATCCAAGCTGTCTGGTATATGGCCTGTAAAGAAGATTAAAATACTTACATATTTTTATTAAATATTATTATTATTTATTATTTTAACCGTAATTTGCTTAGAATTAAGTACATTTTTACATCTGACAAAACCGTTATACGTTGCGGTATCTTTTCACGTATCGCAGTACCAGTGTAGGCATCTCAAAAGTTCAACAACATATACATTTAGTGTGCTCAAAAGTAACGCCGCAGCACATGTAAGCGCAATCAAAAAAGCGGTCTAGGTAAGATCCGAAAGGTCCACATGACTAACTTCCCAGTGGAAGGAATAAAAAAATATCATGTGTTTTAATATTTTATACAATTATTCATTCGGTACAAAAACGACTTGACCGATTTTGCTTAAAATTTAATGAGGTCTAAGTTACATAATTATGCGTTAAATGAAACTGCTCCCATGTCAATATCACTCTTTGTTCTCGAGATACACGAGGTGAACATTGAATTCGAACATACATACATACGTGTGCACACACGGACATCCTCTTGAAAACCATAGTATTCGACTCTAAAGACCTTGAAACGTGGAGATATGTTAAAATTTCCAATTTGCAAAATCGGACCCATTACAATAAACTGACTTAATAAGATTTTTCTCTTTTCGTCGGTTTCTCACACAGATTAATATACCTCTGAGTGATCGTCTCTACTGCTATGTTGATATTTGTGGTAATGTGGTAGAGCCACGCTGCAGCTATATTATGGTTGTGGCACGAATGGTCGGCTCGACCGGAGTAGGATATCGATCTACAGAATACCAACGTAAAATGGCAGCTTAGTGCTACTGTGTTTCGTATGATGAGTGTAGAGAACCGTAGACCCCTTCAAGCTTCGTACTACCACACGGTACAGCGTTACAGCGTTTACAGCGGTGGTCCCGGCTGAACACCTAGCATGGCGGAAGATTACCTCATCCCAAAATGTTTGTAGTGTAAAAGGTCGGTTCTATAAAGAAGCCTTTTTTGGCATAAAATCGATTTTCATCCATAGTTACATATTTTAACCGTAATTACAGCATATAAAAAGTCCGTTGCTGAACCTCATAGATTTCTTAATAGGAGAATATTTTCCACAATAGCTGCAAACCATTTTGCTAAAGTTTTTTTTATTTTTATACTAGTTTTTCATTTATTGCATTATCATTGGGCGTCATCAGATAAGTCAAAAGTTACCTTCAACAGATATTAATTTAGGCGTAGGTTTATGTCCATATATTCCAGTAAACATCGGGGGAAGTCGCAATGATCCTGCAATATCCGATCCCACTCCTATAATAGATGCAGCTGATGAGATAAGCGCAGCCTGAAATTTTAAATATTGTTTATAAAGTATTTATATATAGATGATCTTTTTTACCGTCTGGAAACAATAGTGTGTATAGTAGTAATAGTGTGTAGTAGTGTATGTATGTGTATATATATGTATCGTAATTAACGCACACCCTCAGACACCCCAATTAGTATATTATGTTTTAATCATAATACATACATACACTGAATTTTTAGTTAAACATTTTATGCACTTATTATTTATGAAATTAGTTATACAAATTCCGGAAGAATGTTGTTGTCACGGTACAAATCCACGAACGCAAAGACTTTAACGTGCTTGAAATAAAGTTTATTTTTATTAAATGACAGAATTAGTAATAATACAAATAAAACTGCACTCTTAAAAGTCTTATTGCCTTTAGTTACGGTTCATTTCAGTTTGTTTTGACTGTACAGATTTAGAGTGACTGTAATTTACGTAGTTTTAATTATTTTTGGGATAAAAAAATTACCTATATTAAAAATGATAGGAATCGATTCAGTAAACGATTCTGAACAAACTACTTTCTCAAAGTGCGTTAATTATGTTACATATTGTATTATGTTATAATCATAATACATACACTGAATTTTTAGTTAAACATTTTCATGCATTGATTATTTATAACATTAGTTATACTAATTCCGGAAGAATGTTGTGGTCACAGTACAAATCCACGAACGCAAAGACTAACGTGCTTGAAATAAAGTTAATTTTTCTTTATTTTTATTGAATGACAGAATTAGTAATAATACAAATAAAACTGCACTCTTAAAAGTCTTATTGCCTTAAGTTACGGTCCATTTCAGTTTGTTTTGACTGTACAGATTTAGTGTGCCTGTAATTTACGTAGTTTTAATTATTTTTGTGATAAAAATTACCTATATTAAAATGATAGAAATCGATTCAGTAAACGATTCTGAACGAACTACTTTCTCAAAGTGCGTTAATTATGTTACATGTTGTATATATATATATATATATATATATATATATATATATATATATATATATATATATATATATATATATATATAAATTTTTTATTAAACGTATTATACACGCTTTTGCCCGTGGAGGTATGAAAACAACCTTCACCTTTTAGTTTTTACCTGCGACTTCGTACAAATACCTAGTAGTCGGAAATAATAGTTTTGATTTCGTTGATACAATACAACATTGTATATTATCATTTTAAGATTGATACTGGCTACAATTTCTTTCGCGTGGAGTTCAAATTGCTTATGACATGATTCGTATACGTAATGTTACACTAATAACGGAAAAGAAAGATGTAACTCATCTATTTGCACTTCCGTAGTCGGATAAAAATGAATGTTGCCAGTGGTTGTTTATTACCTACATACCAAAATTTAAGGAAATCCTTTAAGTACCGTAGTTTTTGTGTGAATCGTGAATACACAGACGGGCAGACAGACACATACACACAGATGTACGGGCAGATCGACATACTGATAATAATTCAAAAACTATAAATATAGCTTCACCATCCATTATTTAGTACCTCAAGTATGTTTTTTCGTTATTACATATATGCATGTAATATTGATAGATAACGAACATTCTTCGAACATATTTAATTACGAGTATGTACATCCTATACCAATTGAAATAAGAATAATTAATATCCTTCTATGCAGGTTGCCGAAATAAAATGATAACTGTCCGTCTGCCTCAGCCAGTACCGGAATCCTCGGCGTCGACATATCGAATAAAGCGTAGTTTCGTGGTCACTTGGAAGAGAAACCAAATTGGCCTATAAAAAGCAGCGGGACAGTATTTCATGCCTGCACACCGCCTGTAACTTTGCGGAGGTTCGGCCTCACATAGAATACTGTTCCCATCTCTGAGCCGAGGCTTCACAGTGCCAGCTCTCCATTTGATCGCATCCAGCGCAGCGCGGTTTGAATCGTCAGCAACCGAGCTCATTCTGATCGGCTTGATTCACTGGCGCTGCGAAGATGTTGCATCTCTATCGTACTGACGGATGGAGGGAGTGTTCAGAGGAATTGAACTGATTAATTCCAGTCACTCAATTTCATCATCGTACATCGTGACAAAACTGAAGATATCATCCTTACCGTCTGCATGATTGGCGGTCCACCACTATGCGATTTACAACAAGTTTTCTTCCTCGCACAAATTCCTCTTGGAATCGATTACCACCAGTAGTTTTTCCGGACTGATACGACTTAGGGACCTTCAAGAAAAGAGCCTACTCTTTTCTAATGCATCTGCAATTCCTCTGGTGTTGCAGTTGCTGGACGGCGGTGGTCAGTTCAGTGCTTTTTCCCTATCCCAAAACTTTCAACGTGCCAGCAACAGTTTTTAATTCAAAAAACCCTTTATAATTATTATTTTTCATGCTTTAGGCTATGTGATAACTAAGATCAAAAACAACTCACTTCACCACCCGAAGATCCACCAACTGTGCATTTTAAATTATACGGATTTAAAGTCAGTCCAGTGACATTGTTGTAGGTCTCCCAGTTCATACATAGTTGCGGCGTATTCGTCACGGCTATTGGAATGGCTCCGGCTGCTTTAGCAAGCTTAATGATTTCCGCGTCTTTTTTTGCGGGATTTCTAAAATCACAGACCGTGCCGGAGTCATTACTCATACCTGAAAATAAAAGATAACATAATTATAATAATATAGTTTCACTAGCGGATCCAAAGTATAGTTAGGGGGTTATGCTAAAATAAGACTCAGAGTTACACTGCAAAATATAGTTTTTTTAACTTCCCGCTATGAAAATTGAAAATTTTAAAAAATCAGGTGGTTATTGTTTTACTTTTGAACAACTTGAGCGATTGAAATGAACTAAGCGGATTTCCAAAGTGTTTAATCAAACTTAGATTTCCTTTAAATTTTAACTAATTCAGACTGGTAGATTTTGAGAAATGTCAATAATAAAAATTTTAAAAACCTCTTTTTTTGGAGTAATTTTTGAACCGCTTTACCGATCGATTCCAAAAATTAATCAGCTTTTAACCTTGAAAACCCACGTCGATCGCGGCCGGTCCGGTCAAACTCGGTTGATTCGTTCGTAAGATATCGTTTACGAAACATTTTGAAACAATAGATTTTTTTAAATTACTCCGACTTTACATAGCATACGTCATAATTTGGTGAAAGGGGAATGCCCTACTGTTCATAGACACTTCGGCCATGGATGCTCACATATAAAAGCATATGGAAATGATAATATGCAATTAAAATAATGAAATGGTTAAGGAATTGGTTTAAAAAAAGTCGGGATTTTTATGATATAAAAGTTTTTATTTTCACAAATACAGTTTTTTAACAACTACTTTTACCAATTTTATTGCTTTTAATTTCTTTAACTTTTAATTCCCGACGCGTGATTTTTTTTTTGGAGGCCTATCCCAAAAGGCACACCGAACTGAGGGACTTACTTTAACTAGTATTACAATAGGAACTCAAACACAAATATTATGTAACCCCAAAGTTCGGAAATAAATGGCTATATTATTATTATATTATTATTATTAATTCCCGACGTTTCAGGTGCTTTATAGCACCCATGGTCACGGGGGACTGAGGTGACTGCCATTCCAATGTCAGTATTGGGACATGGAGTACTTTCAGCTTTTTATTATTATTTTTATAGTCCAATCTACACAGATTGAACTTACTCTATCTTTAAGTCTTGCAGCGGTATGCTTAGGTTTAGCTTTAATTTTATTAATTATAGTGTCCCAAGCAGGTGGTAGTACCCAACCGCCTTCTCTATTGAAATTAGGATGTTATTTAATTTCAATAGCCTCACATATCATCCTTGGTAGGAATTAAGGTTCTTTCACGAGGATTCGTGGTCTATCAAATCTGATGTATGTCTATTTGGTTGGGGTGACACCCTTGACATACGGTAGTACAGCAGGCACACATTCAACTGCGGTCGGCTTCATTCGGTCACTGTGACGTAGACGTGGGACCCGAAGCTTGATTTTGTGCAGAACCTGCTTGACGTGCTGAAGCTCCACAGCCAGATGCTTGCTCTCACATATCTCATATGCTCTCTGTAACAAAGATTTACACACTAACTGTGAAGGATGATGGTGAGATTCACTGCTTAAATATCAGTTTGTATGGGTCTTTTTTCTATACACAGTGTGACCTATGATGTTGTTAGGATTTTGGATAACAAAAACATCTAGGAAAGCTAAGAAATTATTTGCCTCTGATATAATATCATAATTACTGAATAGAATTTGGCACAGAGAGTGGTAACGATGGATAACATTTATAGGAACAACATCCTGATTTAATATTTCGTGGGCCATATTCATGAGCCGCTCTAATTTGTTTCTTGGCACTTGCAATAATTCCTATATGCATTCATCACTATCTCCTGTTCTTACTTTCATCAAATATACAGCAAATGCAAAACATCCACTATGTTTACTTGACATTTTGGGAACTTCAGACAGAATTTATTGGTATTGGGCCTTTGATAAGCCTAGATAATAATGTACAGTATATTGGGGTATATTGTGAATATTTTCAAAGTCTATATGATGGTAAATATTATCTTACAATAATGTAGAAAAATCTATAATTTGTGCTACACTAAATGTTTTCATATGGTTATATATTGATTCTAAAATTAAATACCAAGAGTTACTATTTAAATGGTAGTTACTGATTCTACATTCTGGAGGTACATAGTAATTGTATTCACAAAAAGGCATACCCGCAATGCTGATGGAACAGTGAGTTGATTGGAATTGTTACAACCAGGAAAAAACATTGATTTTGTGTGAGTGGTGCTCTTACAAAATTAGGCAGCAGTATATTGTACGATGTATGATCTAAGCTTTGTTGTTCTAGGTTTAATACATTACTCACTTTAGATTGCAACGAGGACGGACTAGATGATTCAGATGGTTCCCGTTCTAAAGTTTAACGTGATGCTGCTTTATCAGTCCTTCGCCAGCAATCATGACACTCACGCGATGACGATGGCAACTGAAATAATATTAAATAAAAAAAAATAAGACAAAGTGAACAAAATAAAATAGATTTGTTTACTTTAAACTCAAATATAGGTAAATGTTACTTAAAACTTAATGCCCTATATTATTTAATAATCAAGGACTGACTGCCTACCAGTAGTCCAAAAACAATTAAAAATCTACTGTCTTATTTCTTGGTATTTGATAAAAATTGTCCATTTCGTAACTATCTGGTGTTAGCTAGCTAATCTTATCGCCGTGATACAAATAAGCTATTATGTTTGTCAGATATAGCTTGTGCATATGTTAAAAAGTAAAACAACTTCATTTCATTCATTCATCACTATCAAATATCAGCACTAGAATTAATAAATTAAAAACTTTTGAACACTTACTTTTAACTGTTGTCACACTATAATGTGATCGACAATCTCACTCCATATGATTTCTTGAGAATTTATTTGAAAAATAACAAACAAAATAACACAATGGCAACTATTTAGTTGTGAATTCTCTAGTACCTTTTTACTTGTTGAATTGTGAAATTGTGATTACATTCCGCATGACATATTTCCTATAGCTGTCAGATTTGATGTTGCCACATAACTAACATAAATACAACGAAACGATATCGATTTTTATTTGATTAGTAATTTAATAAAAAAAATAATAATATTTGAGGCGCTTTAAGTTCTACACGCTTTTTAAAATATATTTTCTTTTATTTATTTAAATTATTTTTAAATGTATTTTTAAGAACAGTTAAAATGTGTTCATGGTGAATCAGCTAAAAATTCACTTGTTTAATTATCATAACATGATTCCATTTTAAATGTATTGTTAAAACATATAACAATAACAGATAAATTGTGCAGTAGCATTTTGTTGTACTCTAAAGAATTCATAGTAAATCAGCTAGTAATTCGCTTGTTTAATTATCATAACATCATAATATCCATAGCGATTCGATTATTATTCGATTAATAATTTCATAAAAAGAGAATAATCTTGGAGGTGTTTTAACTTCTGCTCGCTTTTTGAAATGTATTTGTCTATATTTATTTAAATTCTATTTTAAGTGTATTTTTAAGAACAGTTAATTGTGCAGTAGCGTTTTGTTATGCTCTAAAAAATTCATGGTATATCAGGTAGAAATTCACTTGTTTAATTATCATAACATGATTTTATTTTAAATGTATTGTTAAGAACAGATAAGAATAACAGTTATATTGTGCAGTGGCGTCGTGTTGTACTGCATAGAATTCATTGTAAATCAGCTATTAAATCGCTTATTTAATTATCATAACTACAGATGTGAAGGCAGTTGTTAACGTTTTCAACCAAGCCGATAACAACGGTTGTTTTTGTCTTGAAAGTGATAAAAATATTTTTTTATTCAATAAGTTTTTCTCTTTCGTAACGAATAAACCACAGACCTTCAACGCAAAACTAGGCACAAGAGATGGCGGTGAGCTGAAGTTAGGGAAATTTGGAGTAGGGCAACGGAACCGTAGGGGCCAGCAGCTGGCTGACTTTATGGAGAAAGAGGGACTCTTTATGATGAACTCTTTCTTCCAGAAGCGGCCCCACAGGAAGTGGACCTGGTCGAGCCCCGACGGTTCGACAAAAATGAGATTGACTTCATTATGACGACCAGACGCCAACTGTTCAGTGATGTCTCAGTGATCGCAGGAGTGAAAACCAGCAGCGATCACCGAATGGTTAGAAGCACACTGAACCTAAACGTTAAGTTGGAGAGGTCTCGTCTAATGAAGTCAACGCTCCGTCCCCCTCGTGCTCTAATTCATAATCCCGAGACTTTTCAGCTCGAGTTACGTAACCGCTTTCAGTGCCTAGAAGATTGCAATGCAGTGGACGATATGAATGACAAGCTCGTGGAAACTGTCCATGCGGTCGGAGCTAAGTTCTGCAAGACCCGCCGCAGAAGAACACAAAAACTCTCCGATCACACTCTTAATCTCATGGCTGTTAGACGGGAGATGAGGCTGCAATCGTCAACAGATTTGACAGCATACAGGCAACTGAACAGACAGATCTCCAAATGCATGCGGCAAGACTTACGCAACTTTATTACTGCTAGTATTAAAGAAGTGATCGAGCGGAACCAGGGCTCCAAAGTCTTAGCCAGAGATCTGTTTGCCAGAATGAGCCAACTGTCAAAGCTGAAGACTGAGTGTGGCAGCATCGTTTCCGGGACACCTGAGATTTTGAGTGAGATTGAGAGGTTCTATGGGCAGCTGTACACATCATCGTTGGAGCCACACGCAAGTGTTAGTAACGATCCAAGAGCAAGTCTTACCCGACACTATTCCGATGATATCCCGGACGTCAGTCTGAGCGAGATTAGAATGGCTCTCCAGCACCTTAAAAACGGCAGGGCCCCAGGCGAGGATGGAATTATAGCGGAACTTCTGAAAGCGGGTGGAACACCGGTACTTGAAGTCCTTCAGAAGATCTTCAATTCCGTCTCCATGGTGGCACTACTCCGGAGGCGTGGAGCAGAATTGCGGTGGTCTTGTTCTTTAAGAAAGGCGATAACGATCTCTTGAAGAACTACAGACCGATTTCCCTTCTGAGCCGCGTCTACGTGCTGTTTTCGAGAGTCATTATGAATCGTCTCGC